ACTGTATTTTACAAAATACTAGTCTACTAAAACACAGCCAATAATAGTTACTTTGTATAGATCAAAGGTCAATTTTATGTTATTGGATATGGCAACATGAGTGCATGTGTGCCGCATCGTTGTAACTTCTGTATTGTTAGGCTGAAAAGTCAATATAATAAAAATATATAAAAGGATAATGTTACGAGATTTAAGCTATTTAGTCTAAACATTTATGTTTTCGTGTTATAATGTGTGTTCATTCTAGAAAGGAAGAAGCATAATTTATATTTATTTCCTATTTTTTTATGGTGGTTACGGAACCCATACAGAGATTCATTACTGAAAATAACAGATAAAATATAAAGTTTTTTCTTAAGAAACATTTGATAACTATCCGAACATCATAAAAATGTTGCATGTGAAATCTGAAACTTTTCTGATGCATAAAAGTATTTTTAATCTTAAAATTAAAATTACTTAGATAGGTAACATGCAAAAAGAAAAAAAAGGCATGAGAAAAACATTGCTTTAGAAACCTTAAGACTTAATAAAAAAAAAATTGATATTTTGCATAGGAAAGCATTGTAATGTTAACTAATAATGTGCCAAATTTTGTTAACATTCGCTTACTAATATAAAAGTTATAGCATGAAAACTAAAACAAGCACAAAATGGTTACAAGGTTAGTCCCAGGGACCAAGCTGGTGCTGGAAGAGTTAACTAAAATATAATAGTAAGACCTAAACAGAATTCAAACTGTATATCTAACTATAACATATTTAGGTAAGAAACAATAATAAGTGCTATAGTCGATCAAGCAGCCAACAATACTATAATCAATTTCATGTACTTTGTGACAAGACTTGACATCCATTTCAAAATAAACATTGTTAGTTTATACTGTAAAATGACCTCTTTGTAATTGTTAAATACATGTGTATGTAGCATCTACATGGAAGGGATAAAGCTCAAACAAATCTGTTGAAGGTGGGCATGGCAGCTGTCAGGGGTTAAGAAAATTTATTAGTTGTTTTAACTGTATTCATTCAGAGTACTTCGAAAGGAACAAGTCAAAAGGTTTTGTAAGCATCTTAGTGGCTAGACATGACTATTCTATAACCATTGTATTATTGAAGATAAAGAGAGCCAAAAGCAGAGATTTTTCATTGCTCATTGGTCACATGACAATGCATCTGAAGTTACGAGTAGTTTTTAAAGGATTATTTTGTAATAGTAAAAGGACTTAAAGCTTGGATAAAATAAAACTTGGAATCATAACACACACATTATAATATTAAATTAATTCACATACATTGATATTAAAGGTGTTTAAGAAAATTTTGAATGTAACATAATGACTTGTGCAGAAAAACGTTTAAAGTGGCTCCTGTTGCAAAAGGGTTAATTTATCAAATCAATATAATACAACTAAACAGCAACATAAATTAAAGAAATTATTGTAGTTTCCTACCTTGTAGTCAAGGACTGTTCTTTCAATTATACCTTTATCCAACATCTTTTTATACCAGTCTTGTAATCTCTTTGGTTTTGGAATTTTTTGTTCAGCTGGATGACAATGGAATATGTAATCATCTCCTTCACTTGGTGGACAGGCCCAGATATGGGCCATCGTGTATCTAAACATGCACAAAATAATCATGTACATTCAGTAAAATCTTTAATATTTTTATAGATTTCTTCCTTTGAACAATATTCATGTTCATTAAAAGAATGTTGTTAACAGAGACTTAAGCTTTTTTAACATAAAATAAATTTGTTTGAAAAATTTTTTATACCTTAAAATAACATGTACAAAAAATATAATCATTGAAACTGATAATTCAAGTTAGCATCTATTTACAATATCAATTATATGAAAAGGTTATTTCAAGTACTAGTGAAGTATTTTAACCATGGCAAAATAAAACACTTTCTCTTTCTTGACTTGGAGCTAAATCATGATAATAGAGCTAATAAGAAGAAAAGATTCAATAAAATGTCAGAAATCGAATGTACTTTAAAGATTTAAATTATGATAATCGATAATACAGAAGAAAATTTGATAAAAAGTGTCATTTAATGTTATTTTAAAATTTATATAGTATTACAAAAGTCCTACATTTAACATTAATAAACAAATTTACCTTTAACTTTTTGCTACCACAATAAAATACTAGTTTCAATACTTCTAAAAGCAATGTTTAGATATTCTAACATTAATAAACAAGAAGTTTGATAATTATGTATCATTTAAATATAAATGGACAAAAACAAAGAGCATGAGCAAAAAAATTAAATTTATTTATGTAAAATAAATACTAAATAAAATACACCCTTTTTCTAAAGTTGAAACTTTGTATATAAAACAACATTTAACTTCACAAACACTATTCTGTATCTTTGGAATTAAGCACAAAGCTACATAATGGGCTATCTGTGCTCTGCAAATGGGTATCGAAACCTGGTTTCTAGCATTGTAAGTCCGCAGACATACCGCTGTTCCACTGTGATGAACTGTTTATGGAACAGAGGAGTGTTGTTGATATCCCTCAATTTCTTCAAACAGTGGAAATATTTAACAATATTGCTTTAAACTCAGAAATGCGCTTCTTAAATAGTATCTAATTTTAGCTTAACAAAATTATACAATTGGATTGTTTTTCTATCATATTTTATGTTGTGAAATTTCTAAAAATTTTTTGTGAGACATTGTTCAAAAAACATTAAATATACTACATTATGTTTTATAATTAAAATTTTTTTTATTGCTGGTCAGAATGTTCCATCCAGTCTGTTTCAACTTGATTAGTACTCATTAACACAATTATTTTGACACTTTATTTCACAAATTGTAGTAGTCATCACTTTAGGATATATATCATAAGATTTATCAGTGACCCAGGATTTGATCTTTCACAAAGACATCAGGTCAGACTACATTACAATATTTTTGCCAACGTCAGAAAATACACATAATAACCCAAGTGCTTTCAGAAAGTGAACTATCCTTTGTTAAGGGCAATGACCATTGTAAACATGTTGCTCAGTTATGTGGTTAATGTATCACAAGTAAAATGTCATGTATGTTTAAGAATATGACCTAAACTGTGTTTGGTAATACAGCAATTTATAACACAGTTTATGTACAACAATGAAATTATGTGGGAGGAATGAAAAGAAGGTTCTTCTTGTCTACACAGAAGATCAGAAACATATGAAAAACAGATTATTTCAGCAGCAAAACACTATGATCCCTGAAGATGAGGTTGTCATAAACAGAGTTGCTGAGTTGAAAGTAAGTATGTCATTACTACGTTAATATTCACATGTGATGACTAATGAATATAAATCAAGTTGAATAATGAAGCGTGGTTTGAAAAGATTTTTCATATACAGGCTTATTTTGTCAGTGTCTTTGGTAATTTTTTATAAAGATATGTGATTGAACTACGTAATTGTGTGGATATTATCTAAAAATTGAAATTATGATTTCATTTTCAGGTGGTCACAATAGCATTTATATCAGAGCATAATTTTTGAACATCATTAGCTCTTTGCCTGAGCTGACACTTTTGAGGAACACAGTCACTTAGACAGACATGGTGTAGCACATGCTATTCATGTAGAACATATTACATAGCTGAAAATTCAACATTTTCCATGAATTTATCATGTTTAGTAACTAAGATGTATTTTAGTCTAAAAAAATATGAAATTTCTAACAGACTAAAGACACACCCTACCTCCTTGAAATATTGGTTCAAAAGAACGAAATGGCATGCAATCCCATTAAAATGACTGAGAAAGCCACTAGGGGACATTCTGAGCTTCCAATTGGTTATTTATGTCACACATAGAAGTAAGTGTATATAAAGTAGTATTTTCAAAAAGGGAAAGAGGTGAGTGGGGTGCCACTGTGTTTGATTTATTACGTGAGCAATATCTTAGCAAATAGAATAGATAAGACTTTCTTATTTTATATTCTAGCTTGTCAATATCGGTAATTTGAGTTTCTAAGTTGTACAAAACTACAGACTTAATATTTTAACTTCACAAACATCTAATTTGAACCAGTGCTGCATTCAACATACCATGTGACACACAAAATT